TGGTGGAGTTGTGAATATCTCTAAAGCTTCCTGGAAGCTCTGGGAGTCTCAGGTGGTATTACTGAGTTGCAGAGGTAGGAATTCAGGGGCCTTTAAACACTCAAATTTACACTGGACCACCTTGTTAAACTAATTATCCTGTAACAGCATCTAGCTGTTATCAAACTCCAAAGTTCCTTCTCAGTTTTCCAACACATTAGTGCTTTTCATTCCCATGGCAAAGTTGAACAAATCCATTTAAAGATTAAGAGATCAAAGCAATGTACCTATAAATTACAAAAAAAAAAATAGACATACATTGCAGTTTTATCTTGAAATCAGTCCCTAAGCTGAACATTATGACTCTTGCCTTGTTTTCAGGTCAGATTTCTATGTGATAGTTTTATTGACCACATTGTTTAGGAATAATGAAGCTATGAATTACACAGATTTGCCCAAGTGAGTGTTAGAAGAATCTGGCCACTGTCAATTATATATTTATATCTATCAAAAAAAAAGAGGGATTTCAAACTGTTAATTTGTGAAGTACTATTTTTCCTCTACCTCTAGCTGCAAAATGCACACTGCTGCAAGGGCTTTGGAATTACAGAAATATCAAACAAAAAATGTAATTGCTTTATCTTCAGGGAGTTATGAATTTAAAATCTGATACCTTGTGAACCTCTTGGTCTGTGTACAAATGTTATGCTTTACCAGAAAGCAAGGAATCCCAGTTCTTCAAAAAGATAAAATACAGATGTTTCTAGTGCTGGTGATTCATTGTATAGTAAAATGTCACTGCCTAGAATACAGCATCGCATACTGAAATTTAATTTCACCTGATTCCCATTTGGAGGGAAAGAAGGAAATATTTTTATGTCATAAAAAAAGAAATGGCAGCTGTTTGAAATTTGCTGAGAGGCTTGGAATGTAGTTTTAGTTGAGGTCTATTAGCAGGCAGAAAGCAAGCAAAGACGTAAAAGGTGCAAAAGAAATCCATTATATCATTCTTGAGTCTGTGTTATGAACATTGCTATCCGGAATGCATTCTAGTGTGATCAAAATTGTGTGTATTTGCTTATAGATATTGCACAGGCTAATACATTGGGGAATCAGGGCTTTAGAGGCAATATTCCTATTGTTCAAATGTCTAAAACTAGGGCTTTTGGAATTAAACTGATTTTACTTGAGTTCCAGAATATGAGTTTCTGCTTTCAGACATACATATTTCAGTCTGCATAACTGTGCCTGACTCTTCAGTGTCTGCATTTGTGATTGTAATTCTCAAGCCTGGGATTCAGTACCAGGTACACACCACTAAGCGTGAACTAAGAGTGCCAGAAATGTGATTTACAGCAGTGGGCTTGTTGAGCAAGGGAAATACACATGCCAGCCAATAGAAACCACCGGAAGGAGAGAAATTTCTGAATTTCTTTTATGGATTTCAGTGATAGTGCAAGATGTTTTCAGAGCTGCAAACCACACATCTGCCCTTAGGCTTCCAGACATCTCTGTTTCTTCATTTAAACAACATCCGGTGGATTGGTGTTGTAGGATAGCCTATTAGTTAGACAGGAAGCAGAAAAAAAAAAAAAAAAGACAGAAAATGCTGTCCTCGGAGAGAGGGAACTAACTTTCACATTTCCACTTCCCAGGAAGGTGCAAACCTAGAAGAAAGGGAAGAAAAAAGTGCAAACTCTCCTCTTGTAACTGTGGCTCAGTTCAGAGAGATGTGAGATTTCTAATTTTGATTTAAGCAGAGGGTTAAGCATGATTTCATAGCTCAAGGATGGAGGCACTTGCATGCTGGGAGAAGGAGAAGGAGAGGCAACCTGGATGCCGGCCCCTGCTTCAAGCACTCTTTATGTATGTTACTCAATTACAAATGCAAAATGTGTAGGCAGCCCCTGGGGCAAGAACCCAAGACTTCCTCTTCAAAAGGAGTACCTATTAGGGTTGCAAATTATTCTCTCTCAATAAATCTTGCTTCCTCTCCAATAGAGAAGCATGGCTGCAGCAAGCGGGCTAGACCGTTCTCCAGATGGAGCTTCACCTTGGGCTGGTTGAAGCTGCTCTCCTGGGAGATGTGGGAATGATCTCCCCAGGAAGAGGCTGGCGATGAACCTGAATTTCATGAACAAGTGTCTTATCTACAAGTATGCAAAACGTTGGCAGTCGAGCTACCACCACCCCTGGACATGTTTTTGGGAGAAAGTGTCTGGGCTGTTGTGCTTCATGATGAGGTTAATGTACATTAGGTGTGCTCAGAGGATGCCTCCCATGTCTGGAGATGCCCCACCTGTATATCACAGCCAGGCTTTGGTGCAAGGTAGTTTTCAAGACATTCAGCTGCACAGAAATATAAGAAGCAATGGGATAATACAGTTGCAGAACTTTTATTTTTTTAAACAACAAAAAAAATATGTAATTTTTGTGGCTTTTTCACAAAAGTCTAAATACTACTTACTTGCATTTTTGTTGCACTTTTGAATTTGGCTCTTTCTCAAAGTTATTTTGTGAAGCAATGGTAGAACATAAAATTAGAACCCAGAAATCCTGCTCTGCTACAGTCGCTCTGTAAGACATGTAAATATATTTACAATTAAAAACAGACTTGAATGTTGTCATTTTGTTGAAAATGAAGTAGCTGGCACCTATCTGAATTTCAGAAAAATCTCTTCTTATACTCTGCACATCTATAAACATTTCATCTCTGTTTCATTGCCATGCATTTATTAATTCCTTAGGAGATTGCTTGATAGGCTCCTTTTCCATCCCTCTGTTCTCCCAACCCCCTTGCCTTTTTTTCTCAGTTCTATTGCCCGCAGGAAACTAAAATTCTGCTCACCTTGCTCCTCTCATCACGCACTTCCTTCCAAAGAGATTACTTGTCTAAACTAAGCAACAGGAGGGTGTAGGTTAGAGACTTTTTGGTAGTATTTTGAATACAATATTATAAATGTATTCCTGTTAGTTTTTATGTATTTATTAATAAATGAATGAGTTATATTTGCTTTGGATAATGCTAAACAATCCATAACAAATTAGAGATTATAGTAAAAAATATATAGAGCACTGTAGCAGGAAGAGCCTTTAAATGTGTTTTGTATTTAAAAGAAATGGGTAAGTCAACTTCAGCTCTCAGGCTTCAGTTCAGAGAAGTACTTAAACACTATTGAACAAAATGCTTAAGTATGTTTTTAAGCTGTATGCAGTACAATAAGAAATTTGCAAATTGGGGCCTTGTTTGGCAGAAGAGAATAGACCAAATATAGCTTAAAACAGAATTTTTGTCCCTGCTGTGCTCTTGGCTATTACCATTCCTCTTGGTTCTCTGCTCTTATGACTATTTATCTCAGTTCACTGTATCAGAATCTGCTTTGAAAAGCAAATATTGGCTCAATAAGCAGAATCTTGGAGTGTGAGTTCCTTTAGGGAGAGGTCCTCTCCAAGAGGCCACGTGTGCTTTGACTACCTGCTTGTCTGCTGTGGTGACTGCTACCGTTCTAACACTTGGGCAACGAGGCCAGCTTTTGCTTTTTTTCTGTTGATCATCTAAAATGATGATACAATTTCAACAGAATACTGCAGTAACATGAAGGTGGAGCTTAAATGCAAAAATGCAAATGCATACTCTAAACCTTGAGGTATGCAAACTTAAGTGTCCGATAAATTACAAACTGTTTACATAGAGGAGGGAGAGAGAAACAGAAATGCTGTTCCTCTTCTCATTGATCAGTTTACCTGGATTTAAAATTACGTAACACTAAAAAACTGAAGACATTGACCCTGCCTGAAAAGAAGACTTTCCTGGGATCAATCTCAACTGAAAGATTTGGTCATAAGAGATGTGTTTCACTCTTATGTCATACACAAGCCTTATTTCCTCTAACTGTCAATATCTCTTCTCCGCGCCAGAGGGTCAGAACTACCAGAGGGTTGGAACCCTTAAAAACCAGAGCCAGAGGACCACATGTAGGGAAAATTCCATTTTTTATTTTTTCACTCATCATTTATTTACAAATGCACATTATAACTTTTATATACATTTCACATTTACATGGTAGAAAAGTACAAAACTATATATTTAAATGAATTTATATTTAACTCGCCATGTTTGAAAATATAAAATTGCATCAGAAAAAAAAAGTATTATGAAAAGCAAGAAACTTGAACTGATAAAGCTTTGATATAACTTTTAGTGACACACTAATTGAAAAGCAAAACTTCGAGAGTGGTACTGCAAGACCATCTTAAAGGAAACATGTGATAACACATTTATGCATGTTACGAAAAAAAATAAAACAATAAAATAAAAACCTTTTTATTCTTACTACAATTAGCCATGTAGCTATTAACAACCTTCATAATCCAACTTCTTTGGGTCCGGAATTCTTATAGTACAGTATATATGCTCAGCACGCTGAGATCACTTCAGTAACACGATGTGATCAGAAGTAGAGAAAAGTGAAGTGGAAGAAGTTTCCTTAAAGATTGCCTCACTGCACCCTGGAAGTATATTTAAGTCAGTTGCAATGCCTTTTGATCAGTCAAGAATCCTTGTAAACAAAAACCCGAGGGATCTTTTATGTACAGAACCAGCAAAAAGAAAATCCAATAAATAAACAATAACAGAAACCAACATGCAAGTTTGTTAAAGTGGAAAAGAGTTAACATCAGTGAAACAAAGAGATGAGATCATGTGGGTAAGCTCTAAGGAATGGACTTTTATAGTTTACAAGAAAAAGAAAAAAAAGAAAAACTTTACTTTACAAGCAAGAGACCTCACAATAAATAACACTGCTCTTCCCGTAACGAATAAATTTCTTCAAAAAAAAAGGTGTACAGTCAACCAGACATTTTATGTATAAATTATAAAACATGACACAGTATAAATAAATGTCTATGAGACTCAACTATATGTATACTTTTTTACTCCCCAAAATAAATAAGCATACACTTATTTACAGTACGGACATTTGATTTCGTGCCCAATGGCTGTTCCAATAGTAATGGAGGGTTTACCACTCTAGAATAGAAGATATAGGAAAGCTGTAGTCCTGGTCTTCATCTTCCTCTTCTTCCTCTGGGTCTTCATTAATGGCTAGATGGGGGAATACAGGGGAGCTGTTGTTTAAATAAGGACAACAACAGCGCAGAAGCAGCTCAGTGCATGTTTTCAAAGCCCTCTGAACAGCCATAATACAGCGTTGCATTTTATGCGACTTGTAGTAAGATGCTCTTTGGCATCTGCTGTTATGCAATAAGGATTTTTTTTTATACATAATCTATGAAGTCATAACTGCAGAAAGTTCTGAAGAATCAATGGCTCAGGTTTTATTGGCAGATTCCTGAAATCAAATAAAAAGTGCTCTTGTGTTCTAGGTTTAAATGCTTTGTGCCCTTCATTCAAAGTTAGTAGAGGCAACTGTGCTAAACCAGATGCCCACGTGCTACCATTAAGCTCATTCTGTTGGACAGAGTTAGAGTTTATCCGAGTGTTAATAAAGCAATCAGCGAAGCACACGAGAGCAAACAAATTAGGAAAAATCACTAGAATTATGCTCCTGGGGCAACCCATTTCTGATAAAGCAGCTTTTTCTTAAAATAGCCCCAAAACCCCAAGCTGAAAGCCAACCAATTGCTGGAGATCTATTGCATTTTATCAGTAACCAAAGGATGCATGTGATATATACGTACTTATATTGCATGTGTTCCATATCTTGAATCTCTAAATTAAGCTTTTTAAAAAAAAAAATGTAAAGGCATACATCTTTATCACCTAGGGATTGCCTTCAGAAGCCTTAAAAGCCTGCAGAGTTAAAAACGTCACTTACAATTGCAGGATCCGGAGTGCTTCACTTCTAGCAGCACGCCCATGGAGCAGGCTGCCTCTTTCATGGCACACTCGCTGGGGTACGTAGTGTTGTCGCTAGCGCAGACTGCCTCGTCTGACTTGCTTTCGGGACATAGCTCATCGCAGAGGGCGCACCGGCCTCTGCCAACCTTAAAATCCCACAAGCATTTCTTCCCAGCGCTGCACTGAATATCTTCGCAGGATTTGGCTTCTAAAAATACACACAGGATACTAGAGGTAAGTGAAAAGAAAAGGGGAAAAAAGCAAAGTAGCAACAATCCCAGGCTCCTTTTCCTCCATAAACTCAGGGGAGACAGCTCTGAGGCAGTAGATGCCATACCTGCTTGTTTAACTCTAGACAGGAGCTCCTTGGGAAGCACTGACTGCCTATGTGTGGGAGACGAATCGAGCCGTGCTAGGAGAGCCTGGCCCTGGGAATGCAGCATTGCATTTGCATATGGTGCATGTCCTTCCCTGCTCAGGCTGATAATCCCGGGAAACTCAGCTCCCCACAACGTTGGTGCTGAGTGCAGAATTTACCAATACATTCAGCATTTCTAAATCATTTACTTTTAAACCAAACCCCATAGAATTGTTATCTGCAAGATTAGAAAGTAAATTTACCTCAACTTCAGCCAACTAAAAGTACCCCAAGATTTCCCAGAGCCTCTCCCAGCAGTTTTGGGGAGCAGAAGTTTCCCCCGAGGTGCTTCCCTGTGACACTCAGACTTCACTCCCATTCCTTTCTGGGAAGCACAGTCATAATAGAAAATGTCAGGATGCACAAAGATGCACCAACTGTCTCCAAACTCTGCAGTATTTTTTAAAGAGGGAAAAGTGATCAGATGTTTCCAATTAAGTTAAAGCAAGCTCTGACAAGACCACTTGAATACAATTGTTTCCAGGAATCCAGATCCACTGAATATCGAGACCTTGTTACACTGTAACCATGTCATCATCTATTTAATGGTGTGGGTACTTCTCCCTTGGATACTAATGTCAGCACCCACCCACAGTGATAGCAAGAGAGGCAGGAACGGGCCCTCTGCTCCCTCTGCAAGCTTTGCTGGAGTAGAGCTGCCCCTGGCTCTCCTGTCTCCTGGAGGGGACACAAGCCCAGGCCGTGGGAAGTCTCCGTCCCATGCCCAGCCACAACCTACATCCATTCGATTCCACACGCAATATTCCAAAATGACTGAGCAAAGCAGCTCTCCCCACTCTTACCCTCCAATTGAGATACCTACTGATGCATTTTCCTTCATAGGCTAATCCAATGGAGCGGCCCAGGAGGCAGGTGGCTTTCCTCAGGTGGCAGGCGCTGGCATAGGTTATGCCGTCATTCCCGCAGAGATACTGTTCGGGGGAGGTAGGCTCTGGGCAATTGCGGTTACACGTCACGCAGTAGGCATTATTAGTCTGATCAACCACGCAGGTGGAGCTGCCCGGACATAAGACATCCTTACAGGTCTCTGAAATAAAGATGGAAATATGCGGTGGTTAATAGGAGATCCCGGAACCCAAGCGAGGAGTGAATGAGTGACATAATGAGACAAGTGATCAGATAAGAGCCTGCAGCAGCTTTTGTCATTTAAAGGCCACTGGAGGAAACCTTCCCATCTCGCGTTAGCTGGTAGGACACAAGTGCTGCTAGACTGTGGGGAGGTCTCACTCCAGCTACGTTCTTGTCTGTTGAGTGTGGTTTAGTTATTGTCTCCCAGCACTTGGAACATCGCTCTGGTTACTGCGGGGAAGTACGTCAGCTCCTCCTCCCTACACTCAGACACACACCCTTTGGCATTTGAGGGAGATCGGATTAGATTTGCAAACCTACTTTTGCATTTGCCCTGATACTGGACTTCAAGTTCGGGCTGTTCTTTACATCTGGCTTTGAGAAGGGCACACTCGTTCCTGTAGGTTTTCCCATCTAAGCCACACACGGGGCCCTTCCAAGTGATATTAGAGCAATCCGGAGCACAAACACACCGAGGTTTGTTCTTCTTGTTCATTTTACATTTCTTCCCGGGTCCACAGTCCACGTTCTCACATGTTTCTGATGGAAGGAAAGAGGCACTGCTTTAGTATGGAGTGTGCAGATCAGACTTCCTGTCAAAACTGTTTGAAAAAAAAAAAAAAAAAAAAAACCACCACCACCCCCAGGGAAAAAAAAAAGACAATTTTTC